AAAATGCTGTTGGCTAAGAATAAGGGGCTGCAAATACAGTCTTGCTTTGGAGATGGGGAAGAGGCACCTAAGAAGAACACAGTAGGAGGGAATCTCTCCTATTCAGGATTAAATGAACCTTTTAAAAAGCCCTGGGCTGTATTTAAGTATGAGACAGAGGCGCCATCTTCTGGTTATGATAAGGAATTGAAGTTTCAATATCTGGAGGCTACACAGCCAATTAATTCCAAGTGTCCAAACTGAAGATCCCAGAGGAGACAGAGAAATGACCTGGAGGTATGTGGTTGTGGTTTATGTGACAAAGAGCTCTGGGTCTGCTCCAAGTTGCATATGTTAACCTTTTGAAAAGCAAGGATCAAATAACTAGGGTTACTTATAAGAATGGGAAATGCAGAGCCACTGAAGAGTCAATTGATTTCCTTAATTCCTGGCACTTGCTGCATAAAGAGACTGAACCACACACAGTAGGTCATAAACGTCCTTTAACCTTTAGCCTTGCTCTGAAAACAGGGCTTGATTCACTAAGTTCTTTATAAATCGAGAGGGGACACCCAGTATACGCCTGGACAGATGGCTTTATGTTTTTCAAGATTTCCTTCTCGGTTGATAAGCCAAGGTTGAACAAAACCTCAGGACTAATGTGTAAACCAAGAGGTCAGGGGTTAAGTCTCTTCTGAGAAAAGATCTCTCTTATTTGCCAGAAAGGAGATCATCTCTTTTTATCTGGCTTGAGCTGATTGTGCCAAGGAGCAGTTCAAAAGAACCCCAAGTGTTTATCAGTGAGGAATGACCCTAGGGGTGCTGGTGGTCAGGGAAAGGCCCTTGTTGAAATGGTTGGCTTCCTGGGTTTGTTTGTTTTTGTTTTTTTATTATACTAGTTTATTTACAAAATTTGAATACATTGTTTCTCACACCAGAGTCTTCCAATTTCCCTCACCCTTCCTCGGTTAGTTTTATGATATGCTGTATGGCGTTATTGTTCCAGGTTGGTGTTTGGTGCTGTCAGGTTGAGCTCAGCTCATTGCTACTTGATGGGACTGGACAGAAATTGCTCCACAGGATTTTCTTGTGTATAATAATTTTTTAATTTGTTTTTATTTTATTATATTATTTGTGTGTATGTACCGTCAAATCAGATCTGACTTGTACAGGAGGCGACTGCCCCTCCTGCTCCGGCAGAGCTTCTGGTGGATTTGAACCGCATATCTCTGGGATTGCAGTGCAGCTTCTTGCCACTAGGCCACCAGAGCTCCCCTGTGTATAAAAATTTTTTCAAAAAATATTTTGGTTTTGGTGAAAATATACACAGAAAAATTTTGTTGCCATTCAACAGTTTCTAGACCTAATGATCAATGACACTGGTTATGTTCTTCATATTGGGTCAACATTCTTATTATTACTGGTCTAGTTGTCTCATTAGCATTGATTTAAATTCCTTTGATGATGCTTTTAAAAAACCACTGCTTTCTACCTGGCTGTTAATTTTTTAAAAGAGTACAGTATTCATGGATGACAATCTTTATTTTTTGAGTTAAAGTGTTATATAGTTAAGGTAATGTCATGACTCAGGACAGGGCAGGCTTCAGAGCTGCTATACATAGGGTCACTATGGGTCGCCAGTGACTCAATGGCACATAACAACAACAGCAATGTCCAATGATCCAATGTTTGAAGAATAACTCAGGACAATGGTCTTGAGGACTCTCCCCAGCCTCAGTAGAGCTAGTAAATCTGAATCCTTTAAAACTCTGAAGTCCTCTTCCACATCTTTCTCCCTTTTTATCAGGATCTATCTAAGATGTCCTTTAGTAGAAAGTTCAGCAGTGGTTGGGCTGTAATCTTTACGGAAAGAGATTAGCAGATCCTTCTCTCCTGGGTGGGCTTAAACCGCTGACGCTTTGATTAGTAGCCAAGTGCTTCATGTTGGCACCACAAGGCTTCCTATGCTTATTCCATAGCCAATGGGGAATAACAGCTGCACATTGTGCTGGCATCCAGGGACACGCTCTTGGCCTGAACTGCATTTCCTGTTCAGTTGATGGGCGTGACACATACCTATAATATTCTTGTGACCTACAGGGGAAATGGTGCCAAAACATTGCTCACATCTCAAAGACTTCTCTTTGCTCCCAGCAGGTGAGGACTGTATTTGAGAAAACCCTGGCTTTGGCTGTATGGGGCCATCATTATTAATAAAGAGAAAAAAACCTCTTGTGCTTCTCATTCAGCCAGGTTAACGTTCCGGGCTTTTACAAATAAGAAGAAGAAAAAAAATTACTGTAAACTTAACAGTTGTAACCACAAAGATCTGACTAGTCTGAAGTTGCAGTAAGACAATTTCAGGCCTTTAGATCTAAAAGGAACAGGGTACAGAAAACTACTGTATCTGAGTCAGTGCTGAATAAAGAAAAGAGCAGTAGTTTGCCAATCACAGGTCTAGAATGTGAGGCTTTTTTACTGCTCCTTACTGGCTATGTAGAATTGGGTCACTTAACCTCACTGAGGTTCAGATCGGGACAATAATGTGTTTGAGACCATGTGCCTTCTACAAGCCCAATGGATTTAAGACTCAAATGAAATCACTTGTGAGAAAAATATTTTCTACTCAGAATATAGTACACAGTCATAACTTATTTTTAAATATTTTATTTTCTCTATTAGCACAGTTCTCTGCACGTATACTTAATAATTTTTTTCCACATTGCTATATAGAAATTTACTTATTTGTTTTTCCTACTAGACTCGTCAGAACAGAACAGAGAGACACTGGAGGGTTCAAAATCAAGAAGGAGGTCCGTCAGGAACAGATCATCCGAGACATTGGGCTGTACGAGGAGGGATGTGGCATCAGGATTGGTGGAAGAATCATCAACAACCTGCGTTATGCAGATGGCACAACCCTGCTCGCCGAAACTGAGGAGGACTTGAAGTGCTTGCTTTAGAAGGTTAAGGACTGCAGTCTTCAATATGGATTGAAGCTTAACATCAAGAAGACAGAGATTCTAACCACTGGGCCAATTGGCAGCATCATTATGGATGGTGAAGAGATTTGAGATAGTTAACAGTTTTAGTTTACTTGGCTCCACAGTCAACACTCTTGGTAATAGGAGCCAGGAAATCAGGAGACGAATTGCATTAGGAAAGTCAGTTGTGAGGGACCTCTCAAGAGTGCTGCTGCTGAGCAATGACATCAGGCTGGAGACAAAGGTGTGCCTGATCCAGGCTATAGTCTTCGCAATTAGGTGCTATGTGTCAGAGAGTTGGAAAGTGAATAGGGATGACAGAAAGAGAATTGATGCCTTTGAGCTGTGGTGGTGGAGAAGAGTGCTGAATGTACCATGAATTGCTAGGAGAACAAACAGGTTTGTCCTGGAGAGAGTGAAGCCAGAGTGTTCCCTGGAGTCAAGGATTTTGAAGCTTCGTCTGACATACTTTGGGCATGTTACAAGGAGGGACTGGTCATTGGAGAGGGACATCATGTTTGGGAGAGAGGAGGGACGGCCCAGGAGAAGGACCCATTCTGTGAGTGGAGTGGTGGGAATGAATGCGTTTGAGATGGCTAGGTTGGCACAGGATAGAATGGCATTTAGGGCTCTTGTACATAGGGTCGCTATGAGTCGCAAGTGACTCGATGGCACATAACAACAACAAGAACAACTAGGCTCTAAGTTCTGTGAGGGTAAGAAGCTCAAATCCAGAGCTGTTGAGTCAATTCTGACTCCTAACTACCATCCACTGTGTTTTCTGCTAGCTGAATTCCTGTAATCTGAACTCATGCTATTCAAACACAGAACTAAATAGATTCATCGAAAATGTGGCCTTCCATTCATAGCTAAACTTCTTGTGATCCCCCCAGGAACTCAGGAACCAATCCGATCCTTGTAAATAGTTTTGCTCCTTAGAAGCAAGGATGGTGAAGTTTTGTCTCACATATTTTGGACGTGTTGTTAAGAGGCTGTTCCTTGGAAAGAGAGGTCATGCTTGGAAAGATGGTCAATGAAAGAGAGGATGACCTCAGTGAGAAGGACTGACACACAGACTGGGCTCAGGTATGTACAGATGGTAAGGAAGGCATAGGCTAGGACAGGGTTCAGATCTGTTATTCATAAGGTCACTGTGACTCGATGGCGCCTAACAACAGCCCCCACATTTACCAGGTTTCTGAGCTTGGATATCAAGCGGTGCACTGTTATAGGAATGTAGTAATAACATTTTATTTCTATATAGATATAGATACAGATATATAGATATGTACTTGCACATAGACACCCACAATGTAAATGCATATATACATATGCATAACTCAATCTTTTTCTTGATAGTATTTATTAATTAATTGGTTTCCAGGATACAAAACATAATCTAATTCAAAATAAGTGGAGCTTTTCTTGTCTTTATTGTACAGTTACATTTGATTCTGCTCTTAGGAAGTACTGAAAGATACGGCATAGTAGGTGGCATCTAAAGTTGCTTCTTAGAACTTGATGTCACTAGGTAAAGAAAAAGATACCCTAAATTCATGATGGGCTAGCTTTAAATCTCGATATCGAGCACAATTCAACAACTGACTCCTAGCTGAGCCTCCAGCAGGTTGTCAGGGGTGTAAATTACACAGGAGAAGACGGCCCATCTTTCTTTGAGGAACTCTGCTGGATTTGAACCACTTGCCATTAGAGCGTCAGCACAATTCCTTACTCACTAGGCCATCAGAGCTCCCAATATTTAGCACAGAGGGCTGCATCTGATGTTTCTTAAATGAAACTCCAATCTGGGAGGGCAGGGACAAGAACACAATTTCATTATGTGTCAGAAATAACCAGGCTTGATGTTGGCGGATGGTGCTTTGCTGTAGCATCAAAATTTGGGAAAACCTGTGGCATAATATATACATCTTAATAATGTATTTAGACATCCTTTGGTCACTACTAATGGAAGCCACCTCAAAGGTATCTATTTAGGAAAAGATGCTGGATGCTTGTGAGAAGAAAGCAAATCCTTACCTGTGAACCAGAGTGTTCTTGAGGCCGCCCACCAGGCCGCGGGCGATAGTCTTCACTCTTGGGGTGAGAATAGCTTGGGAGACATGGAAGGTGCCATAAGGGGCCCGCTCACCCAGGGTGGTCTCCAAGAAGAGGAGTAGTTTGCGCACACTTGTGGTGTTTGCCCAAGGTGCTGGGATCTTCTTTCCTGGCCACAAGAAGGGGTATTCCTTATAGAAGGGACAGTGGTAGAAGATAAGAACCTGAAATGTAAAAAACAGAAAACAGAGAGCAATTCGTGAAAGAGTGGAATGCTAACTCCTTAGCTTGAGACTGCTGGTGGGGAAGAAAAGCAAACAAATATAATCACACATAAGGATTTGAAAATGGGGGGAGAAAATTCAACTGTGTTGTGTTGTTGATTGACTTCCAATTGAGTATGACTCATAGTGACCCTATGAACAAAAGGCTTGAAGCCCCTCTACAACTACTGACATTTATCCAAGTTCATAGAGTTTCCAGAAGCATGTTATTTAGGAAGTGGATGCCACTCCTGCTTCTAAACCTGTCATACTATGCTATCTTTTTATATGCCATTGAGTCACTTGTGATGTATCGTGACCCTATGGACAGCAGCTCTGAACCCTTCTCTGTCCTGAGCCAGTCTCACTAACAATGACACACTAACCCTTATTACCTGTTACTGTATCAATCCAGCTCATCCAGGGTCTCCCTCTCCTGTACTGTCCATCCACCCTTCTGAGCATGATGTCCTTCTCTTAGGACTGATCTTTCCTGGCTATGTGTCCAAAGTAAGTGAGGTAGAGCTTCAAAATCCTAGCCTCCAATGAAAGACTTGGCTTCACCCTCTCCAAGACAGACCCATTTGTTTTCTTAGCAGTCCATGGTATGTTCAAGACTCTTCTCCAGTACCACAACTTGAAGGCATCTATTCTTCTTCTGTCATCCTTAGTCATTGTTCAACTCTCTGAAGCATAGTAAGCAGTTGAGAAGATTAGGCACACCTTGTATCTAGACTGACATTGTTGCTCTTCAGCACTCTGGAGAGGTTGATGACAGCAGATTTTGCTTATGCAATTTATCTTTTTATTTCGTGACTGCTAGTGTTAAGTGTTGACTGTGGATCCGAGCAAGCTGCAATTGTTAACAACCTCAATCTCTTCTCCATCTAATATAGTGTTGTCAACTGGCCCAGTGGTGAGAATCTTTGTCTTCTTGATGTTGAGCTTCAATCCATATTGAAGAATACAGTCCTTGAACTTTTGCAGCAAGTGCTTCATGTCCTCCTCAGTTAAAGCAAGCGAGGTTGTGTCATCTAAATATCATAGGTTGTTAATGAGTCTCCCTCCAATCTTGATGCCACACTCCTCCTCATAAAGGCCCGCTTCCCGAATGATCTGTTCTGCATACAGATTGAAAAGGTATGGGGACAGGATGCATTCCTGATGCACTCCTTTCCTGATTTTGAACCATGCAGTAAGTTTCCTTGCTCTGTTCTGAGGACTGCTTCTTGGTCCAAGTGTAGGTTTTTTTATAAGCACGATCAAGTACTCTGAGATTCCTATTTTCCTCAAGGTTAGCCACAATTTATTGTGATCCACACAGTCAAATGCCTTTGCATAGCCAATGAAACACAGATAGACATTCTTCTGGCACTCTCTGCTTTCTGCCAAGATCCATCTAAGATGGGCAATAATGTTCCTAAAGCCAAGACCTCTTTTAAACCCAGCCTATATTTCTGGTAGTTCTTTGTCAATATACTGTTCAAGTCTTTTCTGGATAATCTTCATCAGGAGTTTGCTGGTGTATGATATTAGTGATATTGCATGGTAATTTCCACAGTCTATCAGGTCATCTTTTTTTTTTTTGGAATGGGAATAAATCTGGATCTTTTCCAGTTAGTTGGCCAAATAGTTGTCCTCCTTCTTGGCACAATTTGGTGAGCACATGCAGGGCAGCATCTGTTTGCTGAAATACATCAACTGGTATTCTATCAATTCCTGGGGCTTTATTTTTTTGCCAAGTCCTTCAGAGCAGCCTGTACTTCCTCCTTCATCACCATTGCCTCATGCCCATATGTTGTTTCTTGAAATTCTTCTATTTCAGCCAATTCTTTTTGTTACAATGACTGTATACTCCTTCCATCTGCTTTTAATGCCTATGTGTCTTGCTTAAGGATTATTAACTTTTATTTTGTTGCCATTAATTCCTTTAGAAGGGTGGTAAAATGACGAACTAGTACAATAGTCAGGAGACACAGGAAACCAATTATATTGAAATAGTTATTAATGTATTAAACTTACAACAAATTAACATATTTAATGTATTGAATAATAAGATTTTGTTGTGGGTGTACAAAACCCCCAAAAACGAAAGTACGCCTTCCGAGATGTTGAGTTGACTCTCTCCTAATGACCCGGTGTCAGAGAAGCATATGTCACTGGGTTGTCAATGGGTGAACTTCTGAAAGGAGATTTCCAGGCTTTTCTTCCAAGACACTTTTGGGTAGACTTGAACCTCCAACTTTCCAGTTAGCAGATGCTAGTTAAATTACTTATATCACCTAACACTGTCTGTGGGTCTAATAAGCTTCAAAATGCATGCAAAGATATTTAAAAATATTTTCAGTAACTGAAATGTTTTGTTACAGAAATACCTGTAATTTCCAACAAGACAAAGTTAGTAACTGTTAGGATTAATATTGATAGGCAGCCCAATTTCCAGTTGGAGGTTTTGGTTATTGCTTTATGATGTCAAGTCAGAACCAACTCTTATCTGACTTTCAGAGATTATAGCATAAGAGAGATTATCCATCTTTCTCCAGTGGAGCACCTGGTGGATTTGAACTGCATGCCTTTGAGTTGGCAGCACAACTCCATACCCCCTAGGACACCAGAGTTCCCTGATTCGAGGTTCACACAAACAAAAGGTATTTTCCCCACATCAGAGATTCCAGATTCTTAAATTCTCTCTGTACAGCCTCCTTGTAACCTGAGGACCTCAGGCTAAGAATCTCTAGAAGCTAAGAAACTCTTACTAGTCCAATCTAGTTATGACTCCAGGCCTCACAACATTTACATGTAGCTCTTGGAGTTGAGGTAAACTGCATAAAAATGATTTGGGAATAGATTTTAAGCAGTGCACTGCTGATTCTGAACATATTCAGCATTCCTAGGAAAGAGACAGAGCATTACATTAGTCAAGAAGACTTCACAGAGGCAGGCCAGAGGCCTCCAGTGAGACTTCTCAGGATGATGATTACTAAAATAATTAGCAAACTACATCTACAATGTTAATTAGTTTCTGGGAGGCAACTGAGGGGCAAGAAATTGTTATTCTGGTTGTTCCAATTCAGAACTCTGCTGTATAGGTTACTAGAAGTTTCACAGTGTTGTTGCTGTTCTTATGTGCCATTGAGTCACCTGAGACCCATAGAGACCCTATGTACAGCAGCTCTGAAACCTGCCCTGTCCTGAGCCAGTCTCAGCTACTTCAACACACCTACCCTCATTGTGGTAGTCACTATAATCAATGCATCACATTCAGGGTCTTCCTCTCCTGTTCTGTCCCTCCACCCTTCTGAGCATGATGTCGTCTCCAAGGACTGATCTCTCCTGGCCATGTGCCCAAAGTTCAAGGAGAAACTTGGTTTTACCCTCTCCAAGATAGACTTGTTTGTTTTCTTATCCATCCATGGTATGTTCAAGACTCTTCTCCAGCACCACAACTTGAAGGCATCAATTCTTCTGTCATCCTTAGTCCAGCTCTCTGATGCATATCAAGTAATTGTAAATTATATATATATACACACACACACACACACACCCCAACATATACATTCACACACACTCATATATATTCATACACACACATACATTCACTCAAGGGGTGAGAATAGATAGCATGGAAGACATGGAAGGTGCCACAATAAGCCCCCTGACCAAGAGTGGTCTCTAAGAAGAGGATTGGTTTGTGTACATGTGTGGTATTTGCCCAGTGTGCTGGAATTTTCTTATTACTTAATTAATCAATGCATATTAATACATATATGTGTGTGTATATATACATATGTATTTACATATATACATGTGTGTGTGTGTGTGTGTGTGTGTGTGTGTGTGTGTGTGTGTATAGGGAGCTCTGGTGGCCTACTGGCAAGAAGCTGCACTATAATCCTGAAAGGATGTGGTTCAAGGACACCAGCTACTCTGAGAAAGAAGGATGGGCAATTTCCTCCTGTGTGATTAACTGCCTCTGAAAACCCACCAGAGGGTCAGCTATGGGTCAGTTCTAACTCTATTGTCTACAATAACAACATACATATGAATATAAACATATTCATATGTACACACATATTCACATAACCATCTATAATGATAAGCATATATATATATACACACACATATACACACCCCCCCACATAAATATACACATACATGGCATATGCATGTATAAGTGTGTGTGTGTATTTTTTTTTAACCTCCCAGTCACCCATGAGCACTTCCTGGAGGAATGTCCTGTCTGCATGTTTACACTCCCTGGATTGTGATCCTCCGAGAACTGGCTCGCCCCAGATCATAATCCTCCAGGCACCCAAAAGCAAGGGCTCTGAATGCTTGTCCTGCTTCTGGCACATGTTTAGCTGATGACTAAGGTGTGTGATGAGCTGTCCCTGAAGGCCTAGAGTAAGGGAGTGCCAGGCACAGCACACTGAACAGGGTAATCACTGTTGTTTTTTGACAGTTTTGAGTAATATCTGGCTGACTGCTAAATGCAGTCTGGTGAACGTGTGTTAATGAGGTTAATCACTGGCTCATGGTAAGCAGATTGCGTGGGAGATTGGGGAGGATTTCCTCCTGGTAGTTTGGCTCCTTTGGAACGCTGGGGCCTCTGGCATCCTGGAAGAAGGAAGCTTCTTTGTTAAATGCAGTGTGTAGGAGAGTGGGGAGCCTGTGAGCCCCAGTGATGGGTCAAACCTGGCAGAGTGCCTTTGGAGGTCACCTGGCCAAGGATCCTAGCACCAGGGCATGTGAGGACAGTGTTATTCTTAATTCTGCCTTGGAAAGTGTGCAAGGAAGTACAAGTTACACAAAAAGAATTTTATGCCTTTGCTCAGAAGTCCTCTTGAGCAATACGACCCTGGAGGTTACAGGGAGAATTTCCGTGTACAGTGTGGGACACTGACCTCGTAAACCAAGGCGCACTTGCAGAGACTCCAGGGAGAAGCACTCCTGCCCTGGCCAGTGTTTTCTATCTGCTCCCTCATCTCTTTCTGCTGTATTTTTCTCTCAAATGTTCCCCCTCCAGCTCAGCAGTTCACATTCATTTTTTTTTCCCTCTCGAGACTGAAATGAAAAGAGCTCATTTCCTGTAAGAAACATTCCTTGATTGACCTCTTATTCTGATTACTCCTTTACTGGAGGCCTCTGGGATACAGATTTGTAGTCTGTTCTACTTTTGAATTTATTTCTTACACAATGCCTTTCTTCATATAATGGAGTTTTACCTTGAAATTGGGTAGCTGTTGTTTTGTACCTTAATAGGTTTGTGCATTCATTTCTTCTCATTACGATGTCAAAGACTGCCAAGATGGAGATAAACTCTTTTAATTCATTGTACCCTCAAAACTCACAGGCACTAATGTAGAAAATAGATGCCTATAAGCTATGATGTAATTTCATGTTAAAAAAGATGAAATGTGAATGGTAGTGCACTTCTTGCAATTAATTGTTGTAAAAAAATACTTTTGAGAGAGGTTACACATTACATATCCTTTACATAATGAACACTTAAAATTCAACCAGCAGCCTGGCACTGTCTATCTAGGTGAGGGGTGAATGATTGGTGATTGTTTTTCTGCCCTTTGTTCAGAATTTACAGAGAGAAGTGAAATGGAAGACTTGGAGAAGGGAAGGAGACTGAGACACCAGGATTTAAAATAACTCAGTCCTCTTTTCTGATATGCTAATCATAGTCCACTTCCTTCATAATTTGAGGAGTGTTTGTACTTGGATGACACACCCATTCTTTAAATGTTTCACTCACCAGGAGGTGACACTTTGCACAAATTAATACGCAACAAATTATTTCATCCTTGCAAAGAAAATCCTCTCTTGAGTAAACTAGACAACCCACTGGTTACATGCAGGACACCTACTTTTTATCTCTTCCTCGCAAAGAAAATCCTCTCTTGAATAAACTAGACACCTCACTGGGTACATGTAGGAGACCTACTTTGCCCTGCCCTGATGAGCTACTACTCTGCCTGCTAGCATCTCACTATCTTCTTATCTACTCATTTCTCCTGGGGCCACCTGTGGTGGTTGTGAACTGCTGTCAAGTCAGTCCCTGACATTGCGTGACCCCTGTATATACCCTCTGATGATAAGTTGTCACTTGTTGGGAGAGCTCATTAGTAAAGTGGAAGTGTTTTTATTAGTGTTAACGCAGAAGACTGGTTGTGAACATCACCAAGATGTGCGAGCACCCCTGGGAGAGCATCAGGAGCTGCCAAGCAGGGCATCTTTATAGCATCTGGCCCTTATTCTAGTAGGAGAAGCAGGAAAGCAACTGTGTAAGAGCAGGGACTCTGGAGAGCCAGACAGCCTGCAATTAAATGCTGGCCACTGACTGACAATTTTTCCTTTGGAACGTTGTTTCATTTCTCCATGCCTCAGTTTCCTCTTCTGAGAAATGGAGTTAAAACACAAAACTCTACCTCATGCTGTTGCTGGAAGTTTCAGATGAGGCAATAAAAATACTGACAGTATTGGCTGGAAAGCTCTTTTCCTTGTTATCCCATGGCCAACTGCCTCAAATACACCTTTTCAATGCGGTCTCCCCTGATAAATACATTTAACACTTCATATACACGTCCCTCCCCAGAACTTCTGACTTGAATTTTTCTTTTTACACATATCTTTTCACTTGGTGGTGTAGTCTGTAGAGAGCTGCTCTGCTAGCCAAAAGGCACCTTCAGGTGGTTTGAATCCACCAGTGACTCTGAGGAAGAAAGAAGGACAATCTCCTCTCCTATGATTTACTGCTAGAGGGTCAGCTAGGAGTCAGCTCTGACTCGACAGCAATGGCTTTGACTTTCATTTTAAAACATTATATATGCATTTATTATCTATTAATTGTCTGCACTATCTAAAAAAAGCTCTACTAGGACAGGGATTTATTTACTAATTATCCTAAATGCTCAGTATGGTACTGGGTACACAGTCGGTGTTCAGTAAACATTTCTAAGTGTATATTGTTAGTATAAATGTTGGCTTCTTTTAGCCTTTACAGTCAACATGGTCTTACAAATCATCAACAGCTGTGGAAATAGAGTAAGAGAAAGAATGCTTCCTGCACTAGACAGTACATATTGAGGTAAGCAAGACTTGGGGCAGCAGGACTTGAGGGAGACTGGAGCAGACCTTATTGGTGAGACCCTGGTGATGGTGTTGGAGAGACTGTGGCACTGCTGTGCAGAAAGTGTGTCAAGGTGTGACCTAAGGCTTCTTGCATTTATGCCGACCTTAGTTAAAGGTTTTTGTGGTTCTTGCCAGATGCTTGAAGGAGAGGCTGACTTATAACTGCTCTGAGGCAAACTTTGCTGGATGATTTGGATTTGACTGCTGAACCGAAACCAGAGCCTGGACTAATTGAGGAATTGTGCCTTGGAATTTTGGCTAATTCCTGGAATTATTTTGGGTGCTATTCTTTGTCTCTCCTACTCTCCAACTTTCTTCCCTAATAAACTCCATTCTTGGTACCACAACTGTGAGTGAGCAACAAATAAATGCACCTCTTGCTATTGGTGTAGCTCTAGAGGCACCATGGTGCTGGGCTATGGGTGGCTTTTTATCTGCTTTCTGCTCTGGAGCAGTGAGGGTCTCTCCTATTCTTACTCCCTATGGCCCTTTCAGAAAGACACTCATGACCTTGTGCCAGTAAGTCCTTTTCCCCCTCTTTAGGCAAAGTGAATGGCTGATCTTTATTTCATTGTTTGATCTTTAATTAAAAGCTTTAATTTTAGAACTTTAATTAAAAGCTCCTCCCTAAAAATATCAATCTCTTTAATATGTTTGTGTTTGGTTGGTATGTCTATAAATAACTGAACAACTCTGCATATAAAAGATACAGGCTCTCTCATTTATTTTTTTTTTTTTAGGGGCTGGCTTATCCTTAAGTTCTCTGTCATCCTTGAGGATCAGAGAGGAATGCATCTAAAACCTATGTTATTGCCCCAACCACGTCCCTTATGGGCTTGCATTTGGAGACTCTAACTGGCATGTGAAACTCCTTACTCGCTAGCCCACCAGAGCTCACTTTTGAGTTTGAGGGAGTTCCTGGTTTGTCCAAATGACTACTGTGCCGAGCTGCTAACAGAAACAAACAGATAGACAGTTTGAGTCTATCTAGAGGTGTCTTAGAAGAAAAACTTGACAATCTACTATATACACACATAATCAGTCACGGAAAAAAAATAATCTATGGAGCACACATAAGTCAGAATCTACTCAATGGCAACTGGTGGTTTTAATATAAACAATGACTCACTCCTTCAATGACTTCCTCTTTCACCTGCCCCCTCCCCTTATGACCTAAATTTTATAAAGCAGGCCTTTTAAATGTCAATACCCTTTAGGTGAATCCCATCATATCATATGCCTTTGTCCACTAATACTTTACTTCTTAATCAATACTTGGGAAAGATGATCTGATATCACTAAAGGCAAGATGGAACAAACCAAGATTGAGGAGACCAGCATCCCTGCCACCAGTTACCACTAAGTGAATCTCACCTCATGAGACCCTGCGTGCTGCAGAGTAGAACTGCTCTTTCTTCTTAAGCTTTCATAAGTAAAACACCAGACCCTTCTTTTGAAGAGCCGCTGGATAGATTCAAACATCTGACTTCTCAGCAGCTAAACATTTAGCCATTTATTTTACCTGGGGCTGAGGATAACTAAACCAAACCCAAACCCCCTGCTGTCAAATCAATTCCAACTCACAGTGTCCCTACAGACAGAGTAGAATTTCCTCATAGGGTTTTTAAGGCTGTAAATATTTACAGAAACAGACTGCAACATCATTCTCCTGAGAAGGGTTAGCGGGTTCAAACCACTGATATTTTGGTTAGGACAGTGAAAACACACCTTGTGGGAGATAAGAAAAAGGTAACAGCCAACCTGTCCAATTTGACAACTTTGCTTTGGGGTGGTTCTGGCCAGGTCATTCAAAGTCAACTTTGTTATCAAACAAGTTGTCATACAAATTTGAAGTGTTTGGCAGGTGTTCATCACAGTCCAAAGAAGCCTGGTAGAGCCCTTAAAGCTATCTTAGAGCCCAGGAACCAGTCTGTGCATGTCTAATATCCCATGTCTAATATGCCTTCTAGCTAAGAGCTCCAGGTTGGGCTGGGCTGTGGCTGTTTGCCATGGAATTGATACTGACTCACAGTAACCCTACAGGTCAGAGGAGAACTGGCACAGTTTCTTAGGCAGTTTTTCTTTATAAATGGGCAGGTCTTTACTCTTGTCAGTCAACTGGTGGGTTACAATCACTGGCCTTTCAGTCAGTAGCAAGTGCTTATGCCTCACACCACCAGGGCTCCCAACAAGCTTATGGGTAATGATATAAGGAAAGTAGGAAGAGATTAAGTTCTTGCCTTTCCGAAGTTCACATCTGTTTCCCTCTTACCTGCCATTTCTTTTCCCACAGGGTTTTCAGCATTATACTCTCCACACTGCAGGTGGGGCACAGCTTGTTTCCAAAGGCCTCCTGGATTCTGAGAACCAGGCATCTGTGATGGGCCTCATCCATGGCATAGAAGTGGTTGAAATCCAGGAAGATAACCTCTCTTGGGTGCTGCGTCAGAAAGGAGTCAATCTCCATCAGCCCATCCCGGACTTTGATGCCAAAAAGTCCATGGATGAAATAGATTTCCTGGTCAGTATCCCCTGGCTTGGAGGACACACGCAGGTCAAAGTAGCGGATCCCAGCTTCTAGCTGTTCTCGAAAGGTCAGGTTCTGCGTCACAGACCATTTCTTCATCAGCTTCTTCACCAAGGAGATCCTGGCGAGGCGTATGATAGCCGGGGTTTGGTCAGGCCCCACCGGAGACTTTTCATCCACCCAGTAGCTGAATGAGTCATGGGAGCCTACACAAAACAATAAAGGTGGGGAAAGTAGTTAACACAAGAGCTGGGGAAGATTAGGCAATTGATAAGAAAACCATATATGGGAGTAAAATGTATTTATGTCCACCAGGGGCAGGTGGGAGGAAGGGGGGCAAAGAAAATACAATGCTTAGGGGGTCACTGAGATTCCTGTAAAGGTGATGGGAAAAACCCAGAGTGATTAATGATGATAGTGGAACAACATGATTAATATAATTAATGCCACTGTACATATGAAGACTGTAGAAATGGCAAATATTTTGTTAGCTACGCAGTTAACACACACATAAATTACATATATATTGGAAAAAATAACTCAAAAATAAAACAGTTGCAAATTAACACTAAAAAAACGTTCAAGCTTGCTAGAAATGATATAAACACAAATAAAAGCAGTATAATCTAATTAGATACTTGTTAAGGCTGGAGCGATACTATAATTCTTACATATTGCTGGTAGGTGTTACATAATAAATAACACTTTGGGAAATCTAGTTAGAAATAAGCTTGGAAATAGGAGTTTTGAAATATTCATACCTTTGATGTAGTAATTTCATTTCAGAAAAGCAATTCTGAGGAAATAACATCTAACATTTAGAAAAAACCAAAGATGTCTGCTGAAGAAAATTCCTAATAGAGACAAGCCAGAGGCTGCTTGTATGCCTCACATAAATGAACACTTAATTATGGCATATTCATTTTATCCTTCAATTTTTGAAATCAAGTATAGGAAAGTCACATGTCCATGTTGATGATGCTTTGTGTAAGATTAAGTGGGGAAGGTAGGACTTACTATCAGCTTTTACTGTTACCACTGGAAAAATCCATGTCAGCAAGAATGATTACTTGACAGACCAGATAAAGATTTTGAAGGCTTCAAAACAGATTAATTAATTATATGGTCCTCTGTCTGAGAGGTGGACAGTGAATAAGGGTGAAAGAACAAAAATTGATGCCTTTGAGTTGTGGAGTTAGAGAAGAGCAAATATTCCATAGACTGCCAAAACAACAAAAAGATAAATCTTGGAGAAGGTTCAGTCAGAGTGCGTTTTAGGGTTAAGGGTAATTTATCTTCATCTCACATACTTCGGGCATGTTGCTAGAAGGGGACATTTCTTGGAAAGGGACATAATGCTAGGAAAGGGGGAAGATCAGCAAAAGAGAAAAAGACCCTCAATGAGATGGACTGACAGTGTAATTGCAGCAATGGGTTCAAGTAAGTCAGAGATGACAAGGACGGTACATGGTAGGATAGGGTTCAGATCTATTATTCATTGGGCCACTGTGATTCATACTTGACTTGGCAGTACCTAACAACAACTCTCTTAAACAGAAGGAGTCCTGGCAACGTGGTTAAACACTGGGCTGCTAACAGAAAGGTCAGGAGTTTGAACCAGCAGCTTTTCTGAGAAAGAAAGCTATAGGAATTTGCTCCTGCAAATAGTTCAACTCAACCAATGCCATCAATTCTGAACCTACTGACTGGGTGACACTGGCAGGAATCTGTAAGACGGGCACACTCAGGTGGAATGTCTGGTTGCTTTTTTATTTAAGTCTCTTGTTTAATGTGAACAAGACATCCTGGTGGGCCCTCGGGCTTGTGACACTCGGGCCTCATGTTGTTATATTTTGGAAGAACATTCTTCTAAGTAGTACAGCACTCTTCTGTCAGTCTGCTGTACTGAGGTAATCTGGGTTTGCTATGATGCTGAACCTTGTGCTATTGGGGTGTCAAGTGCCATAGCAGTTGTCCATGTTGGACAGTGTTTGGTGGAGCCCCTAGTTTAAGACAGGTTTGGAAACATCCACTTCCTAAACAACATGCCTCTGGAAACTCTATGAACTTGGAGAAATGACGTTAGTTACAGAAAGGCTTCAGATCTTTTGTTCATAGGGTTGCTATGAGTCATGCTCGACTTGAAGGTAATCAACAACAACACTTATAGCTGAACATCCTGGGTTTTCAGAGTCTATAAATCCCACAGAAGAAGACTTCCCATCATTATCCCATGGAGCAGCTAGTGGACTCAAACTGCATGCCTTTGGGTGCATGCAGTTCTTCCGTGCACATATTTACAGCCTTGAAAACCATATGACTCAGTTTCACTCTGTCCTGAAGGGTCTTAATTTTCAGAGCTGTAACATGCACTGCTAAGAAAACAAACAGATTCATCCTGGAGAGGGTTAAAGCAGGCTGTTCCTTGGGGGCAAGGATTCTGAGGCTTCGTCTGATATACTTTGGACATGCTGTAAGGAGGGACCGGTCCTTGGAGAGGGACATCATGCTTGGGAGGGTGGAGGGCAGGCGCAGGAGGGGAAGACCCTCTATGAGGTGGATTGATTCCGTGATTGAGGTAATTGGGATGGGTGTATTGGAGACAGTGCGACTGGCACAGGACAGAGCAGAGTTTAGGGCTGTTGTACATAGGGTTGCTATGAGTCGCAAGCGACTCAACGGCACATAACAAACATAACAAAACACATCTTGATAAGCTGAAATGGTCATTAAATGAACTGAACGCACACTGTGTCTGATTAAAGAGCAAGAGGGGAAGTATCCTTCTATCCCCAGTGCCATTGAGTTGATGCCAACTCATTGACCCTTCATTGGATTTCAGAGGCTATGAATCTTATACCTATCTTTCCCCCACGGGGCAGGCTGGTGGATTCAGATTGCTGACTTTTTTATTAGGAATGAGATGCATAACTCTTTACACCAGAGAGCTCCTTTTACATTTCCTTTAGACAGTGAGATTATCTTAACTGTTACACAATATGAGTAGCCACAATAGACTAAGGTGAAAATAATCTTTAACAACCATCTTTCATTTTGTCATTGGTTTCTCCCCAGGATTAGTTATTATTGTACTTGTTATCCAGCATCTACTTTGGTTAGCTCTGGAACTGCCTGTGCGTTTGTGGGACTCCATAAGAGTGGCTACACCTGGCAGGCAAAACCTAGGAGGAAGAAAACCTTGTTCTGAACCATGACTGCTCATATGAAGACACAAGTTCCGGTGCTGGTGTGAGTTAATTGCCACCAGAGACCCTTCTTATGGAATTTAGAGTGGGTATTATATATACAAGATATATTTTAAAAAAAAAATTCTGCTCTCTTCATGTCCTTAAAAAGAAGTCACTCTTGTAATGGATTGAGAGTTTTTATCTTTGCAGAAATAAGTTGGGGAAAGGTGACAAATGAGGCTTTACTTTTATTTAGCATCTAGGACAGAGAGGATATTCAGTAAGTATAAGGGGGAAAGTACACTTATTCATCCTTTGGCAAAGTGAATTGTGCAAATGAGAAAATTACTGCTATATTTCAGGTATTAAAAAGTGCCTTCCCTAATGAAAATGTGGGCCAGGTCCCTCTGGATCTTCTGCATTGATTTTCTCTGCTAATGAGACTCAGTGGATGGCTCCCTGACGCTTGGCTTCCTTTGGCTGCATAGAAACAGGAAATTTCCATACCTCCTCAATGAGATTGATTATGAATACATTATATATAGACGATGAGCAGACAGTTCTCTCTTCTGTCTAAATTGTATTAACAGCCCAGCTGCTCAGGTTTGTGTAATAAACTGTGAACCACATATTGAACTTAATTTTTTTTTTCTGGCCACCAGGGAATAGCCATTAGCAAGCACTGAGGAGCGAGGAATCCCTTCTGGTGTCCTCCTATTGCTGCCGAGCCAGTTTCAACTTCCGAGAAAGAAATGCTACAGTATCTAACATCTTCTGCAGTGTCTGAGTCCTGTGTATAAATGTGACAAAAGAGGGACCACCACCCAGGACCATGCCATCTACAAAAGAGGGAGGGAATCCACATTCCCTGGAACATGTGTCTCTCTTCACCTTTTTGTTTCCTCTTCTGCTTCACTGGTCCTGTCTCATCCTTTCTGATATCCTGTGTATCGCCCCAACTCTTACAGGTGATAGAACAGTGTGCTTCAATATTTTATAGCACTAGTTATTACAGACCTGTAAATATTTATAATCTATAAGGAGTGCCTGCAATATATTCCATAAACATTACACACACACACACACACACACACACACACACACACACACACACAGATATGATGTACAATTAAAAAAACCCATAACGTAGTGGGAGGGTAACTCACTATTGTGGAGTTGAAACCAAGTCTTAGTAATCCTTCATGAGGTTTCTGATAATGTAAATCTTTATCAGAGAAATATGGCCATCTTCCTTCTCAGGAGAAACTGGTGGACTTGAACCACTAAGCTTTGAGTTAGCAGCCTAATGTGTAGTGCACTATGCCTCCAGAGTGCCTCAGTGGATGGGATGGTGCCTTACAAATATCTATACCCACTTGGAAACTCAGACTTTGGCCTTATTTGGAAGTAAAGTTTACACTGATATAATTAGCTAAGATGAGACTATATTAGGGACACTGGTGGCTGAATAGTTGAAGTTTTTGACTTTTGAGAAGATCAGCATTTTATACTCACAAGCTCCTTCTTAGCAGAAAGGTTCAGAATCTCCTCCCATAAAGATTTCCAGCCTTGGAACTATGGGTAAGTGGTTAAGTTCTATTCTCCCTTCCAGGGTTGCTTTGAGTTATTAATAGAATTGACTAGGTTTGTGGCTTGGGGACCATAACATATTGCCAAACCCACTGTCACTGAGTTAAATCTGACTCAGTGCAAACTTTCATTGAGTTTCTGAGTCCGTACACCTTTAGGAAAGGGCACTGCTCATCTTTCTTTCATGGAGTGGGTCCAGAATACAATGGTTGGTTTGTCCTTTTAGAAATGTAGTCTGCAGGAAGGAAGTTGTACTCTTAAACCAAAGACTGGGCCTTGCTGGCTGTTCAAATTCAGCAGTGGGTCTGATGAAGAAAGATGGGCAACCTCTTCTCCCTACAGCCTAGGAAACTCAATGGAGAGTCAGCTATAAGTCAATGCTAACTCAAAAGCAATGAGTTTGAATTTTGTTGTTGTTATGTGCCATT